TGGCACATTGCTCCCTTCTTCGTATTTTGCACTCAAGTCTTTTATTGGTACTTATTTCATTTTAGCTTATTTTTTATCGTCAACAAATTAAATATTTGACAGGAAATAAAACGATTATTTGCATAAAACGATGACAACTTAGTAAAACAAAACAAAGAAAAACACGATTTCATTTAAAAGTTTGTTGGCATTTCGTATGTGTTGCCGTGTGTTTTAAAAATCCGATGAATGAAAACATTTTATTCTAATTGAAATTCATTAATTTCATTATCCGCCCGACATACATTTTATTTTTGAATACACAGTTTGCTCTTGAAAATGTCTATTGTTTGCTTATCGGTCACAAAATGTATATAATTTCAATTTTCATGTGACACGCAGCGTGTGTGTGTATGTAGAATACAAACATAAGAGTAAATAGATTCGTCTCCCACAATGAATGATTTGTTTTCGTTTTATTTATTCTTGAATTCGATTTTATTTCGGTAGATATTGTTGTGCTTATCTTTTCGCTTTCATTTTTATATAAATAGCGAAAAGCCATTTACAATGCTGATTCATCAAATGTTTAGCATTTTTGCCTAGTAACTTTTTCGCTTCCTTTTTCTTCAGATGAAATTCGTTGAAATCCACAATTCTACCGCCTGCTACGTTGAGAATTCATTTATTTTATTTTTCTACATCAAACAAATATGAATGCGAAGTCATTGAATAAATTTTGTACGGTCGCCTTTTTTTTACTTTTGAATTTTTCCACCAATTACGATAAGCAAAGGAAGACATGATAAAAACCATATGCAAATATTTAATTTTTTTCTCATTTTTTTTGTCGAGGGGAAATACAAAGGTTGATATTGTGTGTGTGTCGCTTAGAAACATACAAATCAAAATGTATAAATACAACCTATTGTCCCTTTTTTGGCGAAAGAAAGACTTCAACGTGGATCTTATCGACAGAAAATAAGTAAGTTTTCAATTTAAAAACAAATATATACATGGCACCAGCTCTGAATTTCATGAAAAACAGCATTCAAAATGTCACAACGCAGAAGGTGTTCAAAATCCCATTTTCAAATCTGAAAAAAAAACGTAGTATGTCCATTTCCGTACATTTGTGAAGCATCATTATTCATTAAAATAAACGTCTGCATCAAAAACGTTCAAAGAAGACGATGATTAACGCTGTCTCAATGGAAAAAAAGACAGCGAAATTTCAGTATTTCTTTGATTTCATCGAATTAATTTAAAAAAATATCATCAATTTACGAATAAATTTGCTAAATAAATGAAATTAGATAGATTAGATATAAATCAAAACCTATCAAAATGAAAGTTTAAATGAAAGAGATAAAACAAACGATCAAAAAGTGCATGGTGATAAATGGAAAATTGATTTTGCCATGCAAATTCATAAATTAACTCTGTGTACGGTATAACCATGTTGGAAATTAAATGTGAATTGCCATTGAAGTGAGAGAGAGTGGAAACAAGATTGTGTGGCACCCATAATTGAAGACGACATCACCATTAATTTCGAGAATACATAAAAAAAAATCTCCAGTTAAGCGTTTGCCGTGGGGACAGATGTGTGTCTACATTGATGACAAAATTCTTCATGAATGACGGTCGAGTCGAATGAAGAAATAAAAAAACAACAACAAATTCAAAACCGTTTTCCGATGGAATTTATCTCAATCAATGAGTTTCGTGTGTGTGTGTGGGTGATTTTGAATATGTGCTAAAAGCCAATCTAGATGAAAATCGGATATTCAACTGACAGCTTATCAAATAGTTCAATATAAACGGCATAAATGTATTCCATAAACCAGAGACGACGTATAAGCTGAAAGTTTTGACCGAATCAGTTTGTTATTCACAAATGATAATACCAGGATATCAATTTATGCAATACCATGTTGTTTGTTTATCATAACATTACATTTCGAATGAAATTCTATGATTTTTGTAATTAAATGGTGTGTGATTGAAAATTCCCAACTCTTGTTGTGTCAAACTGTCAGTCAAACGATGAATGAGCGTTGAAAATTAAATATTTCAATATGAAAAATTATGCATGGAATATGGACATGGAAAACAATTAAAGTTGCTTCTGTTGCTTGACTGTTCGACATTGTTAAACATTTCATATTCCGCACACTGTGTGTGTATGTGTTGTATATTGGAGTGAAAAACAAAAACAAATCCATGCATGGAGTTGCGACTGGATGCATTTATTGAATGTGCGACCCGACCCGACCCGTTCCGAAATGTATTTTATTGAATTTTATTAGATGCTACCGTTTCGTTCGATCACAAAATCACAATTGCATTGAATTTGGTCTGTGTCAGTCTTTCCTGCAATATCTATCTGTTTTTCTGTGCGCTCAATTGACTTAATGATGTGTGCACAATTTCCAACTGGGCAGACACACACACAGAGAGAGAAAAAGGGAGAGAAATACATCAAACGGAAGTTGGTCGTTTGCTTTTCGGGTAATGTTTCGCACCAGTCTAAATATGTGCTTGATCTTCGTTCACAGTTTCGAATATCATATTGTCTCTTCTACTTTCAATATATGCTAATTTGTTTAGATTCGTTAAAATGCTTTTCGTATGCATTTCAGAGGCGGGTGTATGTTGTTGTTTTTTCGTGTTCGTTCTGTGTTATTGGTTCAGCATCGCTTCGAATTTTCGATTTTTAAACTTACTTATGCCATTGTTTTGGAATGATATTTTTTGCGACTTTGCGAAGCACGTTGTTAAAATTGGATTTATAAATAAACTGTCCTAAAGAAAATTTGAATACACACGGGCACAAAGGAGTGTGACATTTCAACGTTATGCCTATCCGATTTATTATATTATTGTTTCGGATATGACCTATTTGTGATCGATCGCAGCATGAAACTGCTCACGCTTGCTCGCCACCGTTGGTGTGTATATATGTGAAATTGGAAATTTAGGTACGTTCGATAATTCAATCATTCCCGTTTGCAACAATAGAAGCATAAAGCAAATCAAGACCAGTAAAATGTAGCATTATTATAAACAAATAACCCAGCTAATGAAGTATTGTAATTTAATAATTGTCTCATTTCTTACACCAAAACCGTTTAGTGCGAATGTCTTTGTTCCACCATTTCTTCATCATTCGAACTGGGTTCGGTCATGTTTTAAAAAAGCAAAAAATCATTCGTTTCGCTTTCATCTGCGCATTTCAATCGAAAATATATATGTGAATTGTTTGTTAAGCTGAATGACAAAACTTGTTTTTTACAAATGCATTTTATGCTGTTTGACTTCCAGACTCTTTCAACGCAACTCGTCAATTTTATGTTGCTAAAACTATACGATCTCTTTCACTCCCTTGTTCGACATGAACACGTCATTTAAATAAATATGAAGGAAAAAAAAAACATAAATAAATCTGGAATGTATGCTCATCAACTCATCTTTGTATTGAGTCGTAGTTTTAGTTCAACAGAAGTAGCAAAGAAGAAAGAGGATCAGTTTATAATGATTCATTCTTGAGTCATGATGAATGATGCTATTTTGTGTATTTCAGTCGCATACAAATAAACGAAAACAGATGAAAAAAAAACAAGTTATCATTTGAAATGTACTATATTCATCGTCGAAAAGCCATCACCATCGAAGCGAACAGTGAAAAGCTTCTTAATTTCTTTTATTTATCACGGTGTTTTTTTTCCGATTTGGCTGGTAACTGCTTTAAATTTTAAGCCGTTCTTTCTCGAACTATATTCATCAGATATTGAACATAACAGTCACAAAAAAACAACGCCAATTGCTTCATGCTTTTGCTGCTGTTCGCGGTTTCTACTTCTTTCGAACATACTGCCGTAAACCGTTAAATAAAACAGCGTGTAAAAATTGATGAGTTTCTTTTTTTATCCGAAATATGGTTATGGCCTTTTTGAACTATCCATTTAAAAAAAAATTTCGTTCACAGACGAACAAGAATATTTATGCAAAGTTATAACAACTGCAAATTTAATCGATTAGCTTAAATGATTTCTACACATTTCATTTAATTTGTTCATGTATGTGAGAATAAATCCAAATGCGGTTATTAACATTATCGCTGCATATGAAGTTTTATGAAGATTTATTAGTGTTTATCGTCATCATCACCACAAACACTTCTGACATTTTCAATCAATTCTACAACAGATGATGTCAATTCATTTGCATTTAGACATTTCGACAAATGTCTGAAAACCTTTAATCTCAACTCCAGTGTTGAAATGAAAGAAAAAAAAAACTATACAGAACCAAACAACGCATGAACATTATTAACAAATCATATTTCTTTGACCTTTACAAAGCGTAATGTAAGATGAATGCGATTACTTCTTGTATAGAATTTTAATGGCGCAACATAGATGTATCGAGATATTTCGCTTGTTAAGAGTGTCACGTAGATTAGTTTAACGACCAAACTCAGGTGATTTGTGAACAATAGAACAAATTGTTCGATTCGACTAATTAACATCTTGGAATCGAACCTTTAACGAATATGCTTTACACATTTTTCGATTTTCTACGCAATTACATTAGAATAAGAAAAGTCAAGTGGGAATTACATTAGAAAAGAAATTCTGTCTTGAGGTCAATTGGTTACGCTGAATCGTGCTGAGAATGGCAAAAATGCTCGTCAGAGATTCATTAATCTAAAATGGATGCATTTCTTTCCAAATAAAGTTACCTATTTCTGATCGTAGTTTACTTCGTCTATTTTTTTTTTGGTCACTTTTAAAGAAGAAAACTTTAAAATTGAAATATCATAGTAAGCAATATTGATGTAACTATAAAATGTGTCAGTAATATTGCATCAGTTTAAAAAAGTATTTCGTACTGTTCGCACCAACCCCCCCTGATGTCAAACAATGAAAAAAGATTCTGTTTTTTTCTCCACAATGTGGAGAAAGTGTTTACGTATACGTATACGTTGACCTTAATTATCTGTCAAAACCGTAAACACATTATTTTCATAACGCAATTTTGCGAGAGTTCCTATTAGTTGAAAAAAATTAAATTTTTGTGTGCAAACTGTAAGTTATTTTGTGACATACTAGCTATTACATATCGGTTGCCTTATAAAGCACAAAGATCAAATCATTGCTTAGAAAAACGCATCTTTACGTAACATATTAATTTATTGTTTATTATTTCATTCTATAGAAGACATGCCGCGATCATATCGCTTAATGTGCGACAGTCGCCTGGATTCTTATATTTTGCGAAAAGATTGTGAATCATTTGAAAACGTTTTTTCTCTCATTGAAGGCGACTACATGCCGGCCAATTATGTTCATCGTACAAAGCAACGCACCGTGTTGGGAATTGCTGCGGAAAATGGTTCACTGAATATGATGTTAAAGCTTTTGGCTTTTGGTGAAAGTGCGACCTTTAAAGATCCATTTGGTAAAAGCGCAATTGATTATGCGAAAGAAAATAAACAAGAGGAATGTTGTGAGGGTTGTGAGCTCTTAATGTGTTATGAACGTGTGACATCCACCACAACATGGAAAAATTACGTGGAAATTGGAAGAGCGTATCGATCAACACAAGGCACACAAAATATTATTGATCACAACTTACTTTTTCATGTCATTGATCATATCCATGAAAATACGTCAAAAAATGGCGCTATTCTTGTATTTTTGCCCAGCTACGACGATATATGCGAACAACATGAAAAGTTAGTAAGCGTACATGGATTACAGGATTGGGGTTATAAGATTTTTGCGCTGCATAGCGAACTAAATGATGAAAACAATGAGGGTCATGCTCATGTCTTTGATCGCATGGAAAATGGCGTTCGAAAAATAATATTATCTACAAATATTGCAGAAACAGCACTTACAATAGATGATGTCGTCTACGTTGCAAGCGAAAATATTACAAATTTGGGTAAACACGGTAAACATTTGGTAAACATGCCAATCGATTGTCAATTGAGTAAGACACTCTTCTACGCAATTATTTTGCGATGTTTGGATCCCATTGTTATGATTTCCAGTGCACTGTCGGTGAAAGATTTATTCGTACTTTCATTTGAAAATACACAGGAAGTGACTGAAAAAATCAATGAAACAAAAAATCGATTCGCAGAAAATAAATATAGCGACCATCAACTGTATTTCAATATAATTCAAAATTGGTCGAAACAATTACGGGAACATCAACGAAAATTTTGTGTCGAGAATTACATTTCACAAGGTAACATGTTAAAAGCCGAAGGCATTCGATGTTTAATCTTCGACTACATATGCAAATCTGGTATGATTTCGCAATCAATGCGTGAATTGAACGAAAATTCCAGCAATTGGAATGTGGTGAACGCATGCATCATGGCTGGGTTTTATCCTAACCATATTGTGAATAATGGGAACAGCATTGGAAATACCCATCCACATCCGTCATCTGTTGTGTCACAAGCTAGCCTAAATCAACCTGGACTTGTGGTATTTGAACAAAAACAAAAACGAAAGAACGGCAACTTTGTTCTGAAAAATATTTCAGTTTTACCATCGGAAGCTGAAAGTTTGTTACCAAAATTGGAAGAACTTTTATGCCAATTTGTTCGTTATTGATACAAAAAAAATTCATATTATCGTTCCAACTTATTTTTTATATTTACCATAATTTTAATACCGATCATTCATTTATTATTAGTCAATAGTAATAGTTTCGTTTCATTTTCTGCGCAATGAATGCGATATAATAAGAAAATTACACAAATTGCCTTAGTTATAATGTACACAAAAAAAAAAATTACAATTATTTCAAAGTGAATTCAATTGAATACATTGAATACAAAATAATTTATACGTTTATACCTTTGCCGAAAATAAAAGCCATTTTTCATCTTTCTAAATAAATTGGACTGAAATTACATTTATTTGATTAATATGTTTTTTTAAAATAAAATTTGAAAAATAGTTTGAATATGAGGGAGCTACTTGCATTATTTGCTTTTTGTTGCCAACTTCAGATGGAAGCCTGACTTAAATGACGTTTATATGTTTTCATTTCTTCCGACTTGTTCATTCGACGAAAAAGAAATAACAAATAATTGTATCAGCATGTTTTGCTGTTTTTATTATAAATTATTAATAATTAAGTACAATCCGAAAGAAATAATGAAAGTGTTTATTGTGAATTTAATGAGCAAAATCAAAGTATCTTGGCTGCAATTTAAATTCCGAACGGAATCGAAGGTGAATGTTTTTATGTGAGTATAATAGAATATCTTATACATTTTCGTATCGCTTTTAAGCGTTTTTCTTTTTTTCGGGTGTATTGTTTAGTTCAAAGAATATTGGTTCAGCTTGGCCACAATAAAAAAAAGTAAGTAAATAATTCATTCATTTTCTTTCTTTTCCTAGGAATAATTAACGAAGAACCCGAAGAACATTCTTATGCATTCAACGCAATGTATGCGAGCAAATATGCAAAAAAAAAAACTTAAAAATTCATTGCCCTGCAAAGTGAATCCATTTGGTTAATTTGCTTCGAATTATTTTGATTTTGGTAACAAACTTTCAGCTTCCGATGGTAAAACTGAAATATTTTTCAGAACAAAGTTGCCGTTCTTTCGTTTTTGTTTTTGTTCAAATACCACAAGTCCAGGTTGATTTAGGCTAGCTTGTGACACAACAGATGACGGATGTGGATGGGTATTTCCAATGCTGTTCCCATTATTCACAATATGGTTAGGATAAAACCCAGCCATGATGCATGCGTTCACCACATTCCAATTGCTGGAATTTTCGTTCAATTCACGCATTGATTGCGAAATCATACCAGATTTGCATATGTAGTCGAAGATTAAACATCGAATGCCTTCGGCTTTTAACATGTTACCTTGTGAAATGTAATTCTCGACACAAAATTTTCGTTGATGTTCCCGTAATTGTTTCGACCAATTTTGAATTATATTGAAATACAGTTGATGGTCGCTATATTTATTTTCTGCGAATCGATTTTTTGTTTCATTGATTTTTTCAGTCACTTCCTGTGTATTTTCAAATGAAAGTACGAATAAATCTTTCACCGACAGTGCACTGGAAATCATAACAATGGGATCCAAACATCGCAAAATAATTGCGTAGAAGAGTGTCTTACTCAATTGACAATCGATTGGCATGTTTACCAAATGTTTACCGTGTTTACCCAAATTTGTAATATTTTCGCTTGCAACGTAGACGACATCATCTATTGTAAGTGCTGTTTCTGCAATATTTGTAGATAATATTATTTTTCGAACGCCATTTTCCATGCGATCAAAGACATGAGCATGACCCTCATTGTTTTCATCATTTAGTTCGCTATGCAGCGCAAAAATCTTATAACCCCAATCCTGTAATCCATGTACGCTTACTAACTTTTCATGTTGTTCGCATATATCGTCGTAGCTGGGCAAAAATACAAGAATAGCGCCATTTTTTGACGTATTTTCATGGATATGATCAATGACATGAAAAAGTAAGTTGTGATCAATAATATTTTGTGTGCCTTGTGTTGATCGATACGCTCTTCCAATTTCCACGTAATTTTTCCATGTTGTGGTGGATGTCACACGTTCATAACACATTAAGAGCTCACAACCCTCACAACATTCCTCTTGTTTATTTTCTTTCGCATAATCAATTGCGCTTTTACCAAATGGATCTTTAAAGGTCGCACTTTCACCAAAAGCCAAAAGCTTTAACATCATATTCAGTGAACCATTTTCCGCAGCAATTCCCAACACGGTGCGTTGCTTTGTACGATGAACATAATTGGCCGGCATGTAGTCGCCTTCAATGAGAGAAAAAACGTTTTCAAATGATTCACAATCTTTTCGCAAAATATAAGAATCCAGGCGACTGTCGCACATTAAGCGATATGATCGCGGCATGTCTTCTATAGAATGAAATAATAAACAATAAATTAATATGTTACGTAAAGATGCGTTTTTCTAAGCAACTAGAAAATAATGTGTTTACGGTTTTGACAGATTATTAATGTCGACGTATACGTAACCACAGCTGTCATAATATATACGTAACTTCGTATTTTCACATTGTGGAGAATTTTTTCTGTTTCATTAATAATGAATCATTATTTTCTGTAATAAATAGAAATTTATTTATTTATAATTCTAATAGAATGAATTTGAAAAAATAAATAGAATCATTTATATGAAATAAAAATAATTCTAATTTGAAATAATACAATTTTGTTAGGTTCCCATAGAATGGTGTGAGTATTTATAATTTAGTTGTATTATTTTATATGCTTTATGTGTGTGTACAATGATTTTTAATTGATTTAATTTCAATTTGATTTACTTGAATGATTTTTAATACAATTTTTGTGTTGAAACTATAACATTCAAATACATTCCAAATTATTGAAATAAATTTGATTTTTGCATCTAATTCACACTAAAATCAGATGGCGCTCATTAGCGAGATTCGCAAAAAAAAGTCTCCAATCTCATATACGTCAACCCCCCTTGGTTCGCACGTACAAGAAAATCATATTGAACAAATTTTGAATCAGCAAAAAGTAGAAAAGAACATTAAAATTATGGACAGAGCAATTTCAGCCAGAAATCGAGACGAAATGGCCCGAAGCAGAAGAGTACGTCAACCAAGTCGAGCTGGTCGTAGTAACAAAAGAGCCACACAACGTACAATTTCACCACCGAGCAGAAGTATGAGGATGTCACGGGCATCCGTTATGCCAAAAAGTGGACGGGGGAGAAAATCATCAAAAAAACGAAATGCATCGAAAGTTCCAAAGGGTCGGAATACAAAGGAAAATCAACAACGAAACAGATCTCGTTCTGTTCGTCGAGCCTAAAATAAATACGTCATCGCAAACCAGTGCAGATACGAATTTCATTTTTGAATAATCATCAAATATAAAACGATTTATTATGAAATTGAATGCAAATCCAAATTTGTAACAAATAAAATGAATAATTATTCGAAACTAATTCGTGATTAAAAAAAATAAGCGTTTCATTCGTTCCGAAAATTGACTCTTTCAATCCTCCTATAATTATTTAAAAAAAAAAGTTAATCTTCGTGATTAATTTCAAGTCCTTTCTTTTTTAGTTTGTCATTTTAATCGTGGAAAGAATGATTCAATGCTTTATACTATTCTCTACTCGTATTCAAAACTTCAGCCCAATAAAATCTGTTCACAATAAAAAATAAATGCGAGTGGAGTGGATAACAAAAGACTACAAAAAACTGTTATGAAATCATAGTCGCTCTTTGATGCAAAAAAGTTTGTAAGAAAAAAATCTAATGACAACTTAATCAATTCGTACTTGATCTATCAAGTGATTCATCCATAAAAATGAGCTCACAAATTCAAGTTTGATTTGATTTTCTATCTCAATATGAGCTAAGCACTCGGCATTGTCTGTATGTGTTTACTATACGAAACATTACAATCGATATCACCTCAAAATTTTAAATGGACACTGTAAATTTCAATCATATTAATCGTAGTTTCTGTATAAACAAACAAAAAACTAATTATGTTTTTCTTTTTATCTTTTTAGGTAAGTGTCTTGAGCAAGATGTTTCTATAATCTACCACGGAAATAATTGAGGTTTGGTAATGTATTTCAAGTATTGCAAAAAAAAAATGCGATCTCACTTATAGTGAATTAAAGAAAATTTCAATTGATTTTTATCAGTGTGATTTTGTTCGTCATGTATATTTATGATAAACATTGTCAATTTCAAACAAAGGCCATTTGTTGATGAAAAAAATGAGTCCGGCTTAAAAGAGAATGCCATTCGGCTTTTGAAAGGGTTATTTACGATTTTTTTGCAATCGTTTTATTTGATATATTTTTTATCATTATGTTCATACAAGGAGTTGACAATTCAAATAGTGATCATGATAATCTTCCTAGTATAGTTAAGCTGACAATAATAAACGTCACCGCGGCTAAAAAATCTAAACTTGCAAATTACGCGTAATTAATGAATTAATGAAACAAATTAAAGGCACAGCGTACTTTGTAATCTCAGCACTCTGTATATTCTCTTAAGCGATTTCGCTTAAAACGAAACAGAAACAAGTCTATTTTTGACTATGAAACTATATTTGAACAAAATTTCTGCATATTATACCATGATGGGGCCCAAACTCACCTTGAACTAGACAACTGAAAAAAATGGTGTGTGGGTTTTAGGTTGTCAATTGCAATTTTTATGGATCATATTCCATAGACTTTAAATATTTTGAATTGGTTTTTTTTTTTGAATCGAGAGTCGTGCATTGAACTTGGCAACAACCAAAACCAAATTTCTGTTTGTTTTCAATTAATATTCTTCATAGATTTGAACAATGGAAATGAAATTACATTCTACTCATTTTACATTCATGTTGTTTGACCGTGAGGTGGCTATTCATTATGATTAAAGCTACATTTGAGAATTAGGCAGAGAGACGGAGACGTGAAATATATGTGTGTGAGTGAAAGAGAGAGAGAGAGAGAGAGAGATTTTGCAAAGAAGATGCCATCGCACCATTGGTACCGCACGCTACATCGAGTGAATAAAAAAAAGAATGATTTTCAATTGAGATTCATTGTGGCATGCAAAATTCTCTTCACGAAAAAAAATAGAGAAAGAGAATTCACAGAACAATAAACAAATTATTACTGTTTAAACGAGTTTTGTCTGCAATTATACTCGTCTGTAATGCGAACATATCACATTGGATTACCTCTTTTTCTCTTTCTTTCTTTTTTTTTTTGATTCACTCGAGCATACTCAAGGAAAATCAAACATGCATGAAAACAGCTAGATTCTTGACATGATGAGACGGGCACAAATAGACACATAGAGAATGACAGACAGACACAGAGAAAAAGAGAGCAAAGAAAGACGAACACTCAGAAAGGTTGATATGTGATATAAAGAGAGGGCATTCGCGTATCCGAGATAGAAAAAGAGAAAGAAGGATAGCAAATTAGTTTTCGTTAGAGTTTATTTTGTCAAAATTTTGTGCCTGTTTGAAGCTCAATAATTCAACATAATTTTGAATGAATTTCCCAGGAGAAGGAAAAAAGCCCATGATAAACGAGGTACATTTCATCAATGATTGATGATTGACCATTACGGATTTCTTTTCGTCTATTGGCAAAAAAAAAAAAAAAAAAAACTAATAGAAAATTCGCCAAGCGCAAAGTTCCAATGTTTCGTTGAATTTAAACGGCTCAACGGCCTCTTTTTTGCCTTTATCTCTCTCTCGCTTGGGTGTGCGTTTGGCACTATATGTTCCGTAGTTTATTTTGGCTTGAGTGTTATATCACATTGAGAACGAATGTTTTCGCATTGAAAATGGTGTAGTTCTAAAATTGGAAGAAAACAAGTTGATTATTATCGAACACGATTATATGTTTGTTACATGAAACGGATTTTCCGTATTTCGAGCGGCCGTTTTTTTTTTGTTCGACGTTGTTACATCTTTAGCCATCTAATTTTATTGCTCTAATCGCATCTGTACGCGATATTTCATTTGTCAATTGTTGTGTTGTCAGACACAATGCCAATTGCAAATGCCAAAACAGAATCCACAAAGTAACTGAATCAGTAATTACAGTTAATGAACTGTTAGAATGTTCACACAGATCGACTTCGGTCGCGGTAAATCGAGAAACTAGTATTGCCTTAAGCGGTGAATGAGAGAAGAAAAGAAAAACTATAACAAATCACTAAATGATATTCGATCAATGTTGATTAGAACTGTGAATTGGAAAGAGATCGACAGATGTGGTCGCTTTATTTTCACTTTCATAAACTGGTTTCAGCAACTGTAGCACGTTATTATGTTTGTTCCTAGTTGAAAAAAACGTAATTAAAACCTATGGCGATTGATTTTGATTCGATACGAAATGCCCTCTATAATATTTGCACATCCTTTTCAATCACAACAGAATTTGTGGTTCATGATGATCTAGTTGAATGATGATTAGCATATAATACAAAATCACATGATGAAATCTACATACATATTTAATGAATCAGTGAGAATCGATTGGCGAGAGATTGTGAGAGGCAAAATATAAAAGACGAGTGTGGTCAAGTGACAAAATTTCAAATTCAAAACGGTACTTCAATGAATTTGTATTATGACAACAATCTTTAATGTATTTTATATTCAAATTTGAAATCGTGAGTCATCTTCAAATTGCAAACCGTGTTGAAAATATTGTATCATCGAGTAGGTCATAAACAAATCATGTGACAATTGCGATCATGTCGAATACCAGCGAATCAAAGAGATATGCTCTAAGTAGTTGAATTTATTTGATATTTTATTTTTCTTTCATTTCACGTACAATCCATCGGTTATGATTTCATTGTTCGGAAGAGCTTTGTGATGTTCTATGTTTTGTGCTTCTCCAGTGTACCAGTGCTCACGCTTTACTCGTTTATTGTGAAAAAAGCAAGAAAAAACGGCTCATATATTAAAGCCGTGTGTGAGTGCTGTGTTTTTTTTTTTCAAGAGGTATATATGTATACATACATCGGTTGTCAGTTGTTGGTAAAGAAAATCACGATGTATGAATCTCTTTTATGTGGCATGTTTTTTTTCATGTGCGTGTATGATTTGTCGATGCTGTTTTGTTGATTAGTTGTTGTGTTTTTTTTTCTCTACAATTTCTTTGTGCCACAAATTATGTTTCTTGAATATCAAAAAAATTAGCAGCCAAAGAGTACACATTTTGCAAACATTTTTCTGCAAACATATATGTGTATGTCACTGATCGTTTTTAAGTTTCTGACTCACTTTAAATTAAACGCACACAACGCACATTGCACATAAACCAAAATGTGAAGAGAGAGAAAAAAAGTGTCCGCTTATATCATCATTATGTGGCAATGTCAAGTCATTTGTCCGGTTTGTAGATTGCTTGGTGTTTTTTAATCGATCATGTTGAAATGAACACGTTCACACTGTAAAAACCGATATTCCCATATGACTCACACATTGTGTCCATATTTAATCAATTGGCGTCACGTATGGGAATGAATTGCTAGAATTAAAATCTCTTAAGTTGTCTGCTTCTTTTTGCATCCGAAAAAGGAAAATAATAATCATTGTCAAACGAATTGTGCACTTTTGCTAAGCACGCATACGCACGCACACGCACGCACAAAGCACACATTCACCCGAAAGCAAAACCTGATAATAACATTACCGGCTTATCGTGCACACCGATCAATTTGTCGTTAATTATTTTCTTGATTTCGACAACAATTTCGCAAAAATACACAGATAGAGAGAAGAGAGAGAGAGAGAGAGAGAGAGAGAAACGTATTACACATGTTTTCGTTTTTATACTCGCCGTACGCTCGCTGAGTCTTAACAAAATATAATGTTTACAACAATACGGCATCGAAGCAACCGTGTGACGATTGTATTATGATAACAACAGACAATAAATACATATTAATATTGTTGTTGATTTTCTTTTGGTGTTTTTTGTTTTGAATTCATTCAAAATAACGCACATTGATACGAAAAAAATAGCATGTATATAAGTGTGATGAGCACTGAATTTAGACATTAAATGTGTATTGTGTATGCGCCTGTGAACCAAAGCAAATTAGAAAACGAATGTGAACAACCAGGCAAAAATCAATCGCTCTCAGCTATCATATTTCTTGTTATGTATGGGAACGTTGTGCTTTCCCAGATAATTGAAAACAAAATTCACTCGTAATGTCCATGATGTTTTCTTCTACTTCTTCTCGCTACAGCATTTGCTACGCATATTTTAGCTTTACTTTGACTTCAAATCAATCCATTCGGCCGTAAATTAGGTACGCTTATATTTACTTCCATCTCATTCACTCTTTCTCTCTCTCTCTGTCGCTCCAACCCCCTCTTTTTCGATCTGAACGCG